GATAGATTTAACTTTCCATTTCCACTTCCTCAGTATAGCTTCGTCCTCCGTTTCAGGTTCCTCTGGCAAAGGGATCTGCATAATAAGAAAAATTCGCATATTTTGTTTAAAATTTATCTTTGCAACTGACTAGAACAGGCTTCTGACCTAAAAATGACATTAAGGGAAAAAAAAAAGTTCCACATATAAAAAAAAAAAGCACATAATATCATAGAACCTACGTCATTGCGGTCAACCAAGTTACCAAGACGACCTCCGCTAGCCCATATCCTATCTACCACACTGAGGACCCTTTTGTTCACCCTCCATTTGGTGTTTCCAAGTGTATCCAGGGCCTGCCCACACAAAAGGTACAAGATGCACATTGCATATCATACTGTCAGCAGAAGATGTGTGCCACCCTTACAGGACAGTTGAAGAAGAGAAATTGCAGGTTTATGAACCTCATAGACTGGTCGCAACTGATTAATTGGTGCCCTTTTGACTGCTTCACGTTGCTGTCTTGCACCATGTGTGCGCATGACATACGAAGGAAGAAACAGATGCCCACCTTTGTCATAACTGCAAAACAAAGACCTGTCAGCCAACAAAACAAAATTAAAGAAAATAAAATAACATAAACCACAGGTTTGTTTCCTCCCTTACAAAATATTGTTCTTCCAGTGGAAGCCCTAAGAGGATTTTCAGTGAAGATGACACTTGTTGACAAGCATTTAGAATTTGGCAGTGTTTCTCAGAATATAGTACTAGGCTGTACTCTCAGCTAAAATAAGCATAAGCAGATTCTGAACCTCAAGTCTCCACAACCAATCTTTCAATTACACACCAAACAATATTTTTCTCCCACCAGACCGGTGGTGGTATGGGCAATTCTAGGTAATAAACAGGCTGATTTTCTATTTATCTTTTAGGCTATGGTACTACATTCTTAATCCATAGAATGTTATACAGCAATGCAAACAATCTGTTGCAATCAAATTCCGCTCCTTCAAGTTTCTGGCAGAAGATGCCTTGAAAAGAATCAAGGCACCTTTTGAATTCCTCAGCTTTTTAACTATACATACATACATATACATACATACTTACATAAATACATACATATATATATATGGAGTAAGTCCCTTGTTTACATTGTTAGAGATGAATGCAACAAATGAATATTCCATACCACACACAACACAAATTCGAGTAGACTGGTTTAAAACAGGGGTTAAGCTACAATTTTTGGGTAAATTAAAGAACACATAGAGCCAAGTCTTTTTGGTTTCACATTTAACTAATCAAAAGAGAAAGGCAAGCAGCATAATAGTGCAATTAAACTTAAATTGAATTTACATATGACAGGGTGTTGCAATCCTAGAAAATAAAAAGAATTTAAAATTGCAGTACCCTGTCCACTTGACTGGAGGTACCAACATTGGCATGTAAGGGATAACCATGTGCCTGGCCTGTTCATAAATATAACAAATCTCAGGAAGACACCTAAATTAAAGATGAGACAATGTATGATAAATCAACAAACTTAAGGTGACATAGCAAGGAACCTTCGTCGTAAGACAACAAATTTACCCCAAGTTCTAAAATATTTGCAGTTCATTTCTAAGAACGCTACAAATTCAAGAATAATTACATATACTTACAGTTCGCTCAAGGCCTTTGAGGACTAAAGGATCACACTGGATGATGCCATACCTTCTGCTAGGACTCCTACTTAAACAGAAGGCCATAAGCACTTTAAAGATGTAATAATAGACAGGAAAAACCACTAAAGGAAAAGTATCATTACTTTGTATTATTGGTTACAGTTCTAAATGTGTGTATAAATGCAGGCCTAATATCAGGTGGACAGTCTGTTAACTGATCAGCTGGAGACTGAATGTATGCTGTTTGCAGAAGCAACTCGATGAGATGGCTCCCAACCTACAAACATAAATAAAAGCTGCACGTTAAGATAGTTTCAAACTAAAGCTTCATAAACTCCCTACGTCAAGTACCAGATTAGATCAAACCTTTGCTTTAACCTCTGTACTCCAGGGTTTTGAATCATCTTGACCCTTCACTATCTGCTGCACCACATGCAGCTTTTGTTTTTTCATCAAATTTGTAACAGTTCGCCGTAGTTTCTCTTGTTCTTGAATTACACTGGTACTCATATCTCCTTCCATTTTCATATCTTCATTTATTTTTTTCTTCTTGGTTTTCTCCAGAAACTTGTGTATCCTAATCTGTACAGATAAAAAATTTTACAGAATAAAAACTACATAAATTATTGCAGGAACCAGATTTGAAACATCTGGCAACATCCCAATATTGAGAAACTCTACAGTATGTTTGTGAACATGACAAGCATACATAGGCCATTGTTCTCACCAGTATGTCAGGCAAGCCAAAATGCTAGCAAATTACACAACAAAACATCAGTCCCAAAATGATCCATACACTCGCTAAGAAATACATATAAACATCCCCAGCTTCATAGTCTATACAAGCAAAGAACTTTACAAACTCCACATATAGTACCAATTATTTCTATTAGCAATAACAATTAAAGGATGCATATGATCTGCCAACGAGAATCTCAATAAGGAAACGTATAAATTTTTTTCTACCTGTTTCGTTTTAAGACCTAAGGTTATCCAACATATCTACAAAACCATCTTTGCCTCAGAGGCTCACACAGGGTTTTAAACTGTGATGTCAAATTCATTGGTATATAGCATCCATCCATAACTATAGCAATTATAAATTAAAATCCTCAAAATGCCAATATTGTTACAAAAATTTTAAATAGCTACATTCAGTTCATGCTCATGCCTGTCACAATATCATAATGTCTTCACAGTCACGTGAATATAGCAAGCTCAGTAACAACCTAATAAATCTTATCCTGCTTCTACCCTGTGGCATTTGGAGTATCAATCACACAAACCAAGATCACAATCATTTTGCAGTCCACATGAAACAATTTATAGATATGTCTAACGAGATGATCTCTTTCTCCCACCTATTTTTCTTACGAACTCGTATAAAGAAGGGAATACACTTCTTCAATTACATTACATGATATCCTGATTTGTAATTCTTAATAAAGTTAAACTAGTGACCTGAGATTTCACCACTTACGTCTGTAAATCACTACATGTCAATCAGAGCAATTTAGGATGAATCAAGTACAGCACCTGCAGAACATGCTTTTAGAAAAAGGCGAACCCTCCATCTTAAGTTATGCTTTTGAAACCAAAGTAATTAGGTGAAAAATATTCTATTTCACTAACCTCCTGTTCAATAGCATCACCTATTAGACAAGCAGCTGATACTACTCTTGCACTGCCATGCTCACCTCCTGTCATCAGCAATCCCATCAACTTATGCATAGTAATGACTGACATCATATCAGCTGGCAACTGATGAAAATACTTTGCATAGGCAGCCTTGCTTTTCCGCAGCCTACATAACTCCTGCTCCTCAGCAATCTTACTGCACAAAGGCTCAAACCATCCCAAAAAAAGCGACTTCATATATGGCAAATTTGGTGCTAACTTATGTTCGCACATATCATTCAACAGCTCCTTGTACTCGTTAGCTGCTTGTTCCCACGCCTCAGTCTCAATTTTCACTTGCCTCCTTTTCAGCGCATGGTACTTCTTACTGCCCATTCCATAAACTGCTCTATGATGCTTGCGCCACCGAAAGCTCATCTGCCTTCTGTCTTCCTTTTTCATTTCACTCAACAATTCATGAACCTCATCTGCGGCAACTACAGAAGTATCTTCTTCCACATCAGTTGATGAAACTGCAATCGCCTCGGCCAGACTTGCGTAGCTTTTCTGGCTCAGACCATTGATGCTAATTTGGTTCCTCGCAAAATTCAAACTTGGCCTGGCCAAAAACTCATACCTAGTCGAAAACTCACCAACTTTTCGAAAACCCTGTTCTAGAAATCCGTTGCCGGAGCAGGGATTGAAGTCAAGAGTTGAAAACTTGAATTTCTGAGGAAAAATAGAATCTTGGGAAAAACCAAGAAAACTGTAAGTTCGAGGTAGAGAGTGAGGATTAAAAATGGAACCAAATTCTTGGGTTCTGAGGGTTCTGGAAGAGACTAGTTTTGCTATATTTTTCCACATAACGGTGGAAATCTCGGGCGGTTTTAGTAAAAAAGTTCTCGGTTTATAAACTGGATTGGGGGTCAAGCGACCAATGTTGATATTCAGAGAAATGGGGGATTTGGTGCTGGACATCAAATTGTGAGGAATAAATGTTTAATGCAGAGGGGAAGCCTAGTTGAATAGATAGACTGGAGAAGGACGAATAACAGAGTAGATGCAAATGGGGAAAGAAAATTTTCGAAGTAGAAGTTCATGTGATAAAAAAAAAAAATGTGGAATATAGACGACCGGGTGGGCATTTCGATTGGAGAATAAGCCAATAGTAAACTTTAAACCCTTCTTAAACCTTGGTGAGTCGGTGCCGCAGTCGAGCGAGCAGTGGGTAGTTCTTTGACGGTGGTCTGTGGCTGTAGTCAGGCGAGAGGGTTTCATGGTTTTCGTTAATTCCGGGTAGGCCCTTTGGCAGTTGGGCACTTGGGCCGCGCTAGCATCGGGTGCAAAGCGATTTTGGTTTTCCCAATCAGACTTGTGCATAAAGGAATTCGCTGTTCGACCCTACAGCTATTGCCCATCAAAAAAATTGTCCGATTCAGAAACATGAATTGTAAAAGATCATTGACAATTACAAGAATGTAAAAAGAAGCGAAAAACAAAAGAAATTGGAAAAGGATTGTAGCAAAGCACGGAATGCGGCCATGAAAACAAAAAGGACAATGCAAAGGCCCATTTCCATTTGTTAAAGAAAATGCCCTAAAACTAAAAGTGCAAGTATTGCAAACACCTTCTCTCTTTTTGCTTGGATTTTAAATTTTTGCTTGGCAAATACGAAAAATCTAATTTGGTTAAACGGAGCGGAGGATAGTTAAGTTTTAACCCTGATTTTCCATATGGTACTTTATTATGTCAAGTTACCATTCTGATTTCCAACCGTTCAGGACTTCAAAAAGTGGTTCAATTTTCAGGTTTTCCCTTAGCTGCCAGCACCGCTGAGTTAACAGCGGTCGCGAAAATGGCAAAAAGGAAAAGTGGGGAGTGTAGCAAAAGAAACTGGATCACGCATAAATATTTAACAAACAAGAAAAAGTGAACGCTGAAATTCCAAAGCATATTCGAGCAGAGTTTAAAGCATGATCCGCTTCGGATTTTTCAACTTCTGTAGTGATGTTCAGACGATAGCTGGGCACTGGGTACTTGGTCCTGGCTATAGCCTATATCATGTTGATCTTGGCATCTGACAGCTGTGTTCTGAAACACCAATAATGTGCAAAAAGGAGCTGCACCAAAATATCAACAAACGTTCAAATTGTTCTATGCCTGAGAAAAGTTATACGAGTTACTTTAGTACTGCATCTTTCTAGTTAACGACCTAAAATGATTTTCAACTACTAGGAGCAATATAAGAATGTATTTTACCATCAGGCAATGCAGAAGTAAAAAGGGCCAACTATAAGAATTTGGAGCAAAAGATTGTCTTTCGTCATCACCATCGCCAAATTGCCATTGTCTGCGACATTGAAAATTCACATAACCCGCAATTCTAGTTGCCTGCAGGAAGAAGAGCAACAGATGAGGCTATCAATTAAAAAGTCTGATTTGCCTGTAAATGCAACATCTGCATCCACCAGGAAACTGGCAGAAATTTCATTCAGAGACTGCCCTATTAATAAAAAACACTTGTACTAACTACATTCAGAGCAAGGCTCAAGAAGAACTAAAAAGATGTTAGTGTTTGGATAGGAGATTATTTGAATAATTACTATAGCATCTTTTATAATGTGATATATGTGAGATCAGAAGTTGATTGGAAATTGTGTTTGTGATGTAAGCAAAATAAGTTAAAATGCATCTGAGAAGCAATCAAATGAGTTTGGATAAAGTTGCTTAATGTTTATAACTGTTGACTGAGCATTTTGTTGTTTTTACCCCCAGATTATAAAAGAAGCTCCATTTTTACCTCAACTCAGTTATTCTCTTGCAACCCAAAACTGTGAAAAACTTATTTTCTATAATTTCTAACACTGAAGCATTCATGCATTACAATGGGCAACTATATAGCAGGAGTTGGATATAACACGAAACTCATTGTACTTTTTGGGATATAAAAGTGCTATTTCTTACTGTCTTCTTCCTTTGGAATTGACTGGTCAGAAGCACCAGAACAGAAGCCCAACATCAGCATGATCTCCTCTAAACGTTCAACATTTGTCAGATACAGAAAGCCAACCTACAATTGACATAAAACTGTTTCACTTGAAATCAAAACTTTTTGGGAACAGAGATAAATAGTAGGAAACAAGCATCTCTTAGATATGGTCATAGAGAAAAGAATCTCAGAATGATTGTGGAACACATTCATAGAATGCCCAATAAAAGTTGCTTTTTAATGGGGAGAACCACAGAGGATAACATGCTTAGAAACAACCTAATCTCAACTCTTTGCATCAATAAATTTAAGTATGGAGCTGTAAATGACTGCGTACCAAATTTTGCAAGATAAATGAGGTGATACAAAACAGATGCATAACATTGAGATAATTGACCAAAGTTTAACACAAGAATGACATGAATATTTTTAAACAATGGTTTGATCTCCTAGTATCATCCCAATAGAACTGACAAACTGAAAATGGAGGGAAAAACATGAAAGTCAATCAACAAATTTCTTAACATACGTATACATCTATGAATACTCATATGTACAGTAAGTAGGAAGAACTAACAAGAGTTTCCAGTGAAGAGGCCCTGTTGTAAACAGCCACCCCAGCACGCTTTTTGGTCCTTGTTTTTGATGAACCAACATTTTTCCCCCAACGAAGCACATCCCTGCACAAAGTGCTTATCAGATGCCACACTTAAGACAACTGCAGTTGTAATAACATACACACAACTTCTGGAAAACATTGATCATGTTTCCCAAGAAATGGCAGCAGCAACTTGAGATGAAATTGCTCCCCAGTGCAACGGAAACATAGAAATCTCATACAGACACTTTTTCTCTTAAGATTATCAACTTTGGGACTTTCATAGTTGTTTTTTCCATTGTCTTAGGGCCCAGGAAGCAGGACCGACAATCTACAATATTATTATTCTTCAGAAGTTTGTTTCATCTGATAGACTAGAATATCAACAATTTCCCCTTTACTTCGGTGTAAATGAACTTTGAGTTTTCTCTACCCTCGAGGGAATGACTATGCCTATTCATCTGCAACAGAAGATACGTTTGCATACAATTTAAAATTCTGAAGAAGCACTTTTAAGAAATAAACATAACACCAACCTTTCTTGTTCTGACAAGAAATCATCATTAATAAGTTTTTGCAGCATCGCATCCTGAAACATAGCAAGTACATCAAAAAAGATTCTAAACATATTTGTGCTGGGAAACAACAAGGAATATGCATTTGAATCGGGAAGAGAAAAAACAAAAGAAATGGAAGTCAATATAGAACGCAGACATAGATTCACTCTTTATTCAGCTGAACCAACTCTCTTATGCAACAAGTAGTGAAAGAATGGGAAACCAATTTAAAGAAAATGAAAAGAAACTTTTTCTTTTCCTTTCCTTTTTTTTTTTTGGGTAAAACTACAATTTGAACACTTTCTACAAAAAATGATAAAAAGCCTAAGATATGAATACAGCACTAAACCACGCTAGGGATGGATGGCAGCAAAATATGTGGTCTTACAAGGATTTCTATGCTCATGAGATTGCTTTCTTCAACAATCTTTGTAACTTCATAGAAACAAGTACAACATACTAGACGCAATCTAGGCAAAAACTTCCTCAGCTTATATGAAAAGAAAACCAGAATTCTATTCTTACTTGGGCCTCACAACGCACAACTGCCGTCACACGATCATTGTATTCTTCAATATTCAAAGGAGGAAAAAGAAAGTGTCTTCGAGCATATAACTGCATCATCAGATTCAGGAAGTAGTAAAAGCAAAACAGATTAGTAAAAGAACCAACCTTCAAAAGAGAAAATCATTAGCTCTCTAACCACATAAAAAATCAGAGCAGCTAACTTATTAAATTCTTGAAAATTTACTAGTGTGGAGTTATCAAAAGAATATTCTTTCTTTCGTATACAATTTTTACTTGCAAATTTTCAGGCCGAGAATCTGATTAGCACCAAGTTATGGCAACAGCAGTAGCCATTCTGATACTTACCAAATACCATCAAGTTTCCATTGTTATTTAATTTAACTCTCAAACTCTTCCTGAACTCCCATCCCCAAGTTTAAAAAGCACAGCAAAGAAGAAGAAAACCTCGTAAATGCAGTCTCCAATGTAAGCCAACGATGCCGCGTTGAAAACAGAACGAGGCTTCTCCACCTTGGGAGGACTGGGAAGCCATCTCTCGTATCCCAAGTACGTCATTTCACTTTCACAGAGAGTCCCTATCGTAATAATACCCCGCAGCTAATTCAAATTGAATTTAAAGAAAAAAAAGGTGTATTCTGGGCCTCTGTACAATAATTGCGTTTTAATTACTTGTAACTAGTAATTTAACTATACCTTTGGCGGTGGTAGAGGAGGGGGCGGGAGTGGCGCGTTTCAGGAGGTCGGAAACCGATATGCTGGAGGTGGAAAGCGTGGGAGTCAGATCAAGTTGGGGTTTTTGGGGTTTAGCAGGGTAGGTGCGATGTGGGTTATAAGGCAATCTCTGCTTGGTGTCCACTGATGACGTCGTTAGCGCTGCTGTTAGTGTTTTCCGATTGGGGTGCACCAGGAGTGTGCCCGAGAGCGAAAGCCTTGGAAGAGCCGCAGCCATGGCGGCGTTTCTGTGTCTCTAATTACTATATAGGATTTTAACCTCTACTGAAGTCGTCGAATGCTTTATTGTTACAAAATGTTGCTGAACTTGCGCCTTTATAAGTGAAATGGAAGCTTGAAAGAGAAGAGGCGAAATACATTATAGGTACTATATGGGATTTTACGACTTTAAACCTTTATAGTTTTGCTCAACACTGTGAGTTGTGACAAATTCAACGGCTGTCTTTGCACTTCACCGGAAAAATTAGCTGCCATCTACCACCACCTCCTCCGGTCATACATATATATACAATACATATATACACACACATTCTGACAATGAAATGGTTAAACAATGGTCTTTGAACACAAAACTCCTTCGTTATATGGGATGCTTACTTCTTGATGCCCATTGGCTGAAGAGCAAGCCTTTACTTATTTATTTATTATTTCTGTATGCTTTTTCTTCCTGGGTATGCAAGACATTGTCCAATTCCCAGGTAGAGATGGATAGAACGTCTTCCAACTTAGGAAATGTGGATTATACCCACCAAGCCGTCAAGACTGGAAACTGAAAGACGAGCGGAGCAAGTTAAACTACAGTGGAACCCTGTAAAGTTGTGCCTTGCATTTGCATTAACAAAAAACATTAGCCACCAAAATCATAGATAAAGTTATCAAAATGACACCATGACCAGGCCCCTGATTCCTGCCCTTCCACGGCCACCAGCTCCCTCACGGAATAAAAATTGAAGAAAGGAAAAGCCATAAATTAGTTGTTTCCCTGCTATACATCCCAACCCCTTCTTAATTTCCCAAGTAATTTCCTCAAAATATGTATAAGTTTTCGAGTCTTGTGAGGTCAATGAACGCATATTTGTACAAATCATCCAAGCTAGGCAAACCTTTACATGGAAGAGAAAGTTCTCAGTAGCCTTAATTCTTTGAAGCCATTCAGCACATGTGATCCATAGAAAGCGCACAGACAACAGAAAGAAGGCAAGCCTGGACCAGTTTAAAATTCACCATGACAAGCTCAGCCAGTTGACGAGGAACATGGAACTTGGTCATTCTAAGCGTGCATATCCTGATAAATATTAACCATACATCAAGAGAGAGAACCTTTAGAACACAAACTGCAAGCATTTAAGGCTTTAAAAAGAGGAGATTTCTTGTATCAACTTTTTATAAAAAAACATATAGGTGATCAATGCATGTGTCTGTGGTCTTATCTTGTGCACCGATGCCACTCACCAATCTAATAATAGGGATCTCTATCTCCTACCCTCTGAATAAAGGTATAGATGACCTTACCTCGTTTCCATTTTAGGGTGTGGCTAAACTAGTAGCCCTAGACAAAGCAAAATTTAGAAAAGAAAAATCACAAACACAAGATGTTGCATGACTGAGCAATAGAGTCACTAATTTCTTGCACAAAGATTGCATGATTAAATGACATAAATTCCAAACATAAAAGTGCCAAACTTAAACGGGTATTTATACGAAATTAGGATTAACAATGATGTTTTTATTCTTCTTCCAAACATATTGAACTCGACTTATGTATTTTATGGAAGAAGAATAAAGACATCAATACAGTATCTAATTTTGAATAAAATGAACAATATTGGAGTAAATAAGCCAACAAACTTAAACTGCTTTACTGCAATTATGGACATAGCATAAAGGAGATCTCTCACTGGACAATCAAACAAATTGTTGGCCAATGAAAAGAGCAAATAAGATAAAAATATCTTTTACACCGACCTTTCCTTCATCCTCAGATCTTTGCTCCTGCAGGCTTGAAACAATCAATATTGCACAATACTGCTGATCTCATCATCTCTCCAAAGCTGCACCACCGATTTTAACAGTCAAGAAAGAAAGCTTTTGCATCTATACTAATATCCCAAAGTTCAAAAAACAAAAAATGTAAGCTTAGGCAGCAAAGTTAATCCAACCGGTCAATGCTGTTCCTAGCTCTTTCCGGCTGTTCTGAGCTATTATTTGCTTTTTCAGAAAAATCCACACTCTTTCGAGATCTTTCTCTCCTGTCAACACTGGCTCTTGACTTCTCTCTAAGGTCTGACATTGCTTTAGGTTTCTCCCTCTGGTCAATACTCAGCCTAGACTTCTCTCTCTGATCCGTGCTTGATCTAGGTCTACAATCTGTGCTGTTACGGGCAGCGTCCATTTGATCTGAAGGTGGCATTGAACCACTTCTAAAATGCGATGACTTCTCTATAGCTGATATAAATTTCTTCAGATGCTTAATATACTCAGGATAAAGCTCCAAATCACAATGGTTGCCGCCTTTTACCCATAATGGCTCATATTTCTCTTTACATAGCTCCCAAAGCTGCTTGCCATGAGAGCAATCCACAACGTCATCTGCTGTTCCCTGTAAATGCCAAAAGCAGCATATCTAAGAACAGCAACTGGGAAATTTCCAATTTGAGAAGGTCCAGCTGCATTGCATGGTGAATCACTATATGAAATTATTGTACAACATTTATGCCACTGATGAAGCCAACAAGGAATACCGGCAAAGGGGTTTTCCATTTACTATTGCAAAATGTCAAAAAAAAAAAGGACAAAGAAAAAACAAAGTTAGTTACCAACATCATAAGAAAAGAAAATGCAAAATAATTACACTAAAATTCCATCTTGTCCCAATTTTTTCTTTTGAGTGGAGAAAAACTCCTGATACAGCATAGACAATGGTAGAACAGCAGATAATACTTACATGGATTACCAAAACAGGACTCTGAACCAATGGTATTTTCTCGATATTCTGCATTTCATAAAAACAAAGGGAAAAAGAAAAGGCAGAGTTAAGCAGGAATGAGAATTGAGTGTGGGTAAAATTGATCAGACATGAGGACTGGCTTCACATTCATAGTCACGTTAAAGAATGCTACCTTGTATATATCAAACCAATAAGTGCGCTTCACTGGATACATAACACGAAGACCAGACATGATTGGACTGTGAAGAACCACAGCCCTTAACCGTGATAATCTGGATGCCAAATCCAAAGTTGGACCACTCCCAACAGATTGCCCATATAATATTATATCTTCTTCGTTTGCCCCATATTTCTCCAGAAGACATCTATATGCCGCTTCTATGTCAGCATAAGTGTTCTGCTCGCTTGGCTAGTACAAATATTAAAACAGACAACTTAGTCGAGCATGCCCTAAATCAGAAACTACTTCGAAATGGAAGAAAAAAGTTAGACTCAAGACTCCATACTCTACCTTTCCAGTAGACTGTCCATATCCTGAATAGTCATACCTGCCCAAAACATTTTAGGGTAAACAAATCTCAAATGTCAGGATGTGAATAAGTTTAACATGCACAAGCATATATAAGAAAGCAGTTCTACTTGTCGTCTCTGCACAAAAAGTTGCCTTCTTTTCATCCACCTCACCTCGACAAGGATAAAAAAGGATTAAAAACTAAAACCACTTGAAATATAAGCTTCCCTAACAATTTCAAGTCTTTTAAATTGTCAGAGAAAAGCAATATAATCAGGCATGAGCTACTGATCCGCTCCCAACAATCAAATACCAATTACTATCGAAACATAAAAAATAAGCATCGCAAAATGGTTAGAACTCGCGGTCAATCTCCCCTGTCAAAAAAATAAATAAAACCAGTAACTCTCCAGTGGCCCATCACGAACTCAGTAGCTAAATCTACCGCACTTGCTTTCATGGTTGCATTAAAAATCAAATCTTTTGTAGCAGTGACATATGAATACATGCATGAATGGTCTGAAAACAACTGGGAGTAGCCAAAAAAGAGAGCACCCCATCAAGTTGACGCGTAGATGAAGGCTGAGTTCGCTGAAGAGGTCATACATCTGGCCCAGATCAGCAGCGTTGCCGTGGGAGTAGAGCAAAGTGAGGGACGCAGCCGGGTTTTTAACGTAGAGAGCCACAATCCGGGTCCCCCTCTTCGTCGCCAGCCTCAAAACGTCGACGTTGTCCCTCTCGGCGACTCCCGTCATCCTCAATTTCCCGGTCCCTTCGTCCTCTGCCACCCCATACGAGGGTGGATTCGGCGGAAAAAACGCAAACTTGGCAGCCATCGTGGACGTCACGGCCCCCATCCCTCCCTCCAATGTAAATAAATATACCTCCGAATAAATCAAATATATCTATACTTAAAAAACCTTCTCTTCTTGTAACATTAGAAAGGATTGCGGGATTGGGAACATAGAAGGCGCTCCATATTAATGTTAGGGCTTCTACGAGCTAGATTAGATTTGTGCATACAATAATAAACTCCTCCACCATCATACTACTAATAATATAGATATAGATATATATAGATACATTACGCACTACTAATAAATTACAAGAAAATAATTTTAGCCGTAATACATACAAAAAATAAGAGTGTATAGAAATGTATATAGATTTACAAAGAGGAGAGAGTTTGAACGGAGGTGGGGAAGGAAAAGAGGAGGGATTTCCGCGCCGTTAAAAGGGAAGGAGGCACGTGAGATTTAAGGACATGAGTTTTTGGAGCGGTCCAGGTTGTACGAAAAGATGGTGATGTGGAACTGGTAATTTGACACGTGTGGGGGGCCGGGGTTCGAGGAAAATGATAAATTTTTTTGAGCTATAAAAGATGAGACAGTTTAACGGCTTCGACAGGATGATGGTGTCGGAAGTGGGAAGTCTGGGCCGGGTTGAGGGAAGACTGGAAGAGGTCCGTCCGTCGGGGACTTGGGTCCGACATCCCTTTGCCTGATAGCTAGTTTGCTGTGCTTTGTCCTTTTCGATTGTTTGAGGTACTAGCATGTGTATGTAAGTATCTATGATGGAGCCAGTAGTGGTAGTAGAGTGTTTCTGTGATTGGCTGTGGATGGATGGATGGACTTATCTGATGACTTGGAGGATTTGGTTTGTTGGTTTAACGATAAATAAAATATGACATGTATGTGATTGCAAAATGCGTTTATGATATAAAGTAAGTAGATAAATTTGTGTAAATAATTTAGGTTGTATTTAGATTATATTTTTTTAGATTTTTTGTAAATAAAATACTGTAACGATTTGATATATATGAGGTAAAAAGGTAAATTGAAAAATGTGTTCACCGAAAACGTAATAATTTTTCTTTGGAAAACGGCTATTCAAACAAGGTCATATTATCTAAACACACTCAACTCAACTATTCTCGTGGACACCCATCGGGGTTGGCTCGACTGGTGCTGGGGGTGCCTCCTTATGTCGTAGTACCGTGTGGTCGCGGTTTGATCCCAGTTATCGTTTTGTGTCTTCTGGCGGGTGGGGGCACAAGCAGAGTGGGAATAATCGAACCCGAAAATATAATCCGTCGAATTCCAGATACCCACTACGTCAGAAAAAAAAACTATTCTTGTGGACATTGCACTGTTGTATTGGGAAAAGTAGAGCTGTAGTACTATTGGGACAGATTTTAAATATTTCTTAAAAAAAATAAAAAAGGTCAAAAAATCGTTGCTTTTGCCTTGGGAATTGTTCAATATCTTCGGGCTGATTGGAACTTCAGAAAGGAAACTTTGTAGACACGCTGAACTTAGACCATTCTGTTTTGAAAATTAACGAAAATGGGAACTTTTTTTGAAGGAGATATATGAAGAATCTCGTGTTTATATTTTTTCCTTTCAAGGCAAAAAAAAAAGAAAAAGAAAAAGAGAGAGATACACGCGATCAATTGGAATTTTTCTAGTTAACATTAATCTACATTTCTTATAAAGTTAGCTAGTAGCCTAATATGTGAAATTTTCGAGTTTATTACCACAATGATCTTCCTCCAATTTATTCCCTTGTTAGTATATTTGTTGCCGTGCGACTTTAAATATGAAAAACTAATCACGCTTAAACTTCAGCTCTGGATTTTTGGTCAAAATAATCTAGTTCTTAAAAAATAATTCCAAAGCAATTATCTTTCAGTTTTTTTCCCTTGTTAATCCATTTATTGTCACATACGATCCTATTAAAAGAAAAGAATCACTTGTAATTATTTTTCCTTATATTACGAGCTTCCTTCTTTTTTTTTCTTTTTTTTTTTTTTGCCTATTTGGTGCCATGCATATCGCCGCACCAGATTGCAAACCCATGTTACATGTATATCCTATATTTTCGGTTATATTCCGCATTTGTTCTTTTGTTGTCATTATTCCTCCTTAACATTATATTCTTGAGGTTAGATCACAAGTTTCTTTCTTTTTTTGTTGTTACGTGCATTTTCATATGCACTGAACTCTTGACTTTATACATTTCACGAAATTTCAGAAAAATTGAATGTATGACACGCTAGTAATTGTTCCAAAATAATGATCATAGTTTAGCGTGAACTATACAAGTTAAATTTTAAAGAAAAGGAGAAATAAAAAAATTGCATTTTTTGACCCATCATAAAAAATCTAAGCAAGTCATAATTGGCATTAGAATAAACACCAAGGTTAGTGAGTAGTCGTTATTTAAAAGAGTTATATTTATGCATTTTAATAGTAAAAAAAATCATGAATTAACACAATAGATCTCTAAAGATTTTCAGTTTATCTGTATGGCAATTCATCACACACATGGTAAGAAAATTTTTTTAGTTGCTATGACTATTTAAGAAATTTCTAAATATGTTAAAAATTTCCTAAAGGTAGACAATGAATAATAAATAGAGAAGAAGTAGCAAAATTTGAGCTATTGAAAGATGATTAAGGATTTGTCTAATGTGAATTAACAATTAAGCTCTTAAGATTAGTTATTGACATTTTAATGGGATTTGCCTCTCAAAATGAAAGAAGATAAAAGCGAAAGTTTAAGCGTGATTAGTTTCCCATATTTAAATTCCGTGTGGCAACAACCATATTAACAGGGAAATAAATTTTGAAGCTGCATTAGTTTGGAAATATTTTTTAAGTGGAAAATTACTGTGGCAAATTTTTCCACCTTGGAATTACGCCGGACCATGCCCTACAGTCCTACACCGCCATCTTACAATGAAGCAATGCAAGTACTAAAAACCAAAAGATGACGCTGCCTCCTTTTGTTTTTGCTCAATTTTTATTTCATTTTTTCCAACAATAGAGAGGAAGAAATTTTAAACCTAATCCTCAATCAAAATCAAAAGACAATTGCTGACTTTCAAGTTGGATCAAGGGACTTAAACTCTCATCACTCAACCCTCACTGGACCGATGTGAAAGAAAGGAGAGTGGGAAACACTCAGACTCACGCTAGCTCAATTTTTATTTCATGTACTCATTAAAACTGGACCACAATCCTTGACAAGCAGCCCATGGCCAGCTAGCCTCCTCTTTATCCCCTGCAAAAAAAAAGGCCAGCCATCTTCTTCTGGCCCGGTAGGACCTCAGCCACCGTAAACAAAATATATCCTAGCGGAGCCCAACCCAATCATGTATACGTCCATATACCAATAGGCTTTTGCAATGCTCCCAACAACACCAGTTCACCTGAGACGAGAGAAATGTTAACCGAAAACGCCCCATGAAAGGAGCCTCCCTCCGCTGAAGGGGAAAAAGAAAACATCCCAATATTTGACTACTACTTTGGGAATGTGATGTAAACAACGAATTAACCGTCAATAAATTGTCTTACTCTCAATGTTTGGACAAATTCGAGTACTTACTAGGTCTTTTTTTAAAACTATTATTTATGAAGAATAACAGGTGCAAAGGCGTGGTTTGCAATGGATTGTGCTTCAGTGTCTTGATTAATTACAGTTACAGACTGAAAAATGGATAATTTTAGATTTACATTCATATAAAGGCACAACTTATTACAATGCTGAAGATTGCAACTTCTTCACGCTTTCAAAAAGTTCAGTCACATAAAGATGCAAATATTATGGTGCAAGAACACCATTCATAAACCTTGGCTTGTGATGAGTCACGCAAAAGCGCGAACCAACCTTGCTCATAATTTTCACGCTTTTATCCACGTCATCTGAAGGAGGCCAGCATAAACGACCGCGATTTCAAGAGCTTATTCCTTGATGCCATGACGCGCTTTCTGAAGCCTTGTGATTTGAATCGGCGTGGCGAGGACAGCTGTAAGTTAACCCAATTCTTCATACATTTTTTTTTGAAAAAAAATTTCACACGTTAACTAGAGTAACGACAAAAACAATCAAACGCGAGTTAAGTTACAGCAGACACCGGCAAGACATAGAATATGAGTGAATGGGGGAAAAGTACATCGACCTATGCCTGTTGAGTAAGATTCTTGCTACCTGAACAAGCCCACTAGAAGTGTTGATTTTCACGATTATTTGTTCATCCCCGAGGTAACCCATCTCAGATTTTCCTACAAAGTTTCCATTTCCCTTGTATGCTTGTGCTGATAGCTCCGTCAAGATTCAATCTTTTTTGTTGACTTCATCCCGTTCTTCACTGAGAGTTAATTGACGGGATCTATAGAGGAAAAGGCATTCACCGGTATAGTGAAATTCCAGCTGTTCTTTTGATTCTTTGAGCTTTCAGTCATTAGGCCCGTGGCTTATCTGATCTAACAGTATATTTTTCCAATTGAAGCAGCATTTCCCATTTGTTGGTGCAGTCTTTCTAAAATTAGGGATTGCATATGATGTTTGATAACATCCAATATTCAGTTATTCGGGTTTTAGGTATTTGCTTGGATGAGATTCCGTCTTCGTTTGGTTCTGATGCTATCTACATAGTCATGGATGTTCAATTGGATGGGGCCTAGGAAAGATTCAATTTTGGCTATTCAAGTCAGTAGATGATATTGGGATAGTGGGGGTGTTGGTACCATGGTTGAAGTGGGGCAATCTTCTGAATCAGGGTTTAGATTGCCATATTCTCGACTGGTTAGAAATGGAGCTCTTCGGGAGGAGGATAGTTTTCAGAGGCAAGCGACCAATTTTGGGGGCAGTGGGTCAAGAAATACTAGCCCACTGGGTCGAATTGGGTCAAGGAACACAAGTCCTTCGAGGCAAAAAGTGATTAAGACCAAACCAAGGGGATTAGATGAAGAGACGGTTGCCACTTTTAACAAGGCTGTTCAGCCGGATGTTCAGATGGAAGACAACATATGGGCAATGCTACCTGAAGATTTGTTGAATGAAATCTTGGCTAGGGTACCGCCTTTCATGATATTTAGACTTCGATCTGTTTGTAGAAGATGGAATTCTATTTTGCAAGATAATAGCTTTTTGAAGTTTCATTCGCAAGTGCCCTCTCATGGACCTTGCCTTCTGACTTTCTGGAGGAATCCGCAGACACCTCAATGTTCAGTGTTTAGTTTGCCATTAAAACAATGGTTTAGGATCCCATTTACCTTTTTACCGCTGTGGGCATTCTGGTTGGTTGGTTCCTCCGGCGGTCTTCTCTGTTTCTCGGGCGTAGATGGGCTGACTTTCAAGACTTTGGTTTGTAATCCTCTTACCCAAAGTTGGAGGATATTGCCTAGCATGCATTACAATCAACAAAGGCAGTTGATTATGGTCGTTGATCGGATGGATCGATCATTTAAAGTCATTGCAACTA